GATCATAGCATCCCTCCTATCATGTACCGATAGAATATATATATTGTCACAGCTGATGCTAAAATTCGTTATGTGTGTCTCTCTTATGTATTAATGTATTACATATATATACATTTTTAAAGATCACGATAATTAAGCCAATCTTTTTTAGGGCAACAAAGGTGGTGTAGCCATAAGATTTCGTTTTCATGATTCATACTTGTGCTTTGTGAATTGCCACCTGGCAGCAAAACCAGAGGAGTTAGAGAGAAGAAATCAAGATTACATGGAGATATGTAGACGAATGACTTTTCCTGTTGATACAAGTGAAGGGTACTCCTCACTATATGGTTGGGTCGGTGATTATATACCTCCTCCTGCTAAGTATGCGGCAGCAGCTGTTGTTGGAATGGGAGGAATGATTATTCCAGGCATAAATGCGCTTAATGATTCATCCACGGATGTTGTCGGAGCTGGAGTTGTTATATCAATATTTGATAATGAGTAAATATTCTTACTTTTATTAGTAGTACACAGGGAATATGTCCCTTTTAATGTAGTAATATAAGTAAATTGCTATTAACTTTAAATTAAGATTCTATAACAACTTATATATTAATTTTATATTTTATTTCTTTATTTAATAAAGAATATATAATAGAATATTATTGCAACGTTTCATTTTAATAGCTTGCAAACTCATGTAGTTTGCTTAGAAGCAAACAAAATTTTAATAGTAAAATTTTATCTTTTATGCGTCTAAATTTATATATATATATATAATATAAACGAGCAAAAAATAACATTTTACTATTAAAATTTTAGTTGCTTCTAAGCAAACTACATGAGTTTACAAGCTATTAAAATGAAACTTTGCAACAATATTCTATTATATATTCTTTATTAAATCAAAAAAATAAAATATAAAATTAATATATAAGTTTTTAAAGAATCTTAATTTAAAGTTAATAGCAATTTACTATATAAATTTTTGTTTTTTTACTATTACACATTTCATATATAAATTAGTGGACATATTTGTGTGACCGGTAGTCAAGTGAATGAATTTATTTAGTTTTCTCCAAATTTACTTAAATCAATATTTAGTCATTTGATTTGGATGGGGGATTTAAATTATCGCATCGATACTCTACCAGAATCGGCGGTCAAATCGCTATTAGAGAAAGGTGACACGGAATTATTACTAAACTTCGACCAGGTATGCTTAGAATTTCGTCTTTGTCAATATGATAACTTTCTGACAACATAAATACACTAGCTTAACATGCAGAGAAGAAATAAGCAGGCATTTTACGAATTTGAAGAGGGCACAATAACATTCCCGCCAACTTATAAATACGATTTTGGAACAAACGTTTTCGATACCAGGTATTATTACAAATATTACAATGTCTTATTTAGGGATGGGATTTTTTTGAATCTACTGTGCAGGCTGCGCAGCCTCGATTGATTAGGAACCTAGAGACTTCTGCTCATAGGTTATAAAGCATCTACTTTATATGCGTAAAGTTAGGTTCCCATCATTTTTAATTGGCGTTCCAGGCTAGTTTAGACCTCAGTTTTCGTTTTTTTTTTTTTTTTTTTTTACTTTTTCTTGCATATTGGTGGATTTGCAACCTAAAAAATTTCATTGGCCAATCGGATTTCAAAATCAGATGTGACGAGAAAAAACGCAAAAAATCAAAACAAACCAAAAAATTGCTCGTAATTCAACATCTTGTCTATGAAACCACTTTCTGCGCACTAACAAAAAGTTTTTCTTGCTACTAAAGCTCTTTCTAACTTAGCACATTAGCAAAATATGGCCCTAATTTAATAGCTTTAGTGAAATTTTTAGGTTGATAAACGCTAGATTATAGTTCCTGACGTAACTATTTTGTCGTTGACGAATTGACGATACTTGTGTTTTGTTTCGCCATTGACGAATTGATGGTTTCGTCAGGCATCATTACGCTATATCAGTTGATTTGTGTCATCTGGCAAATAGAGAAACCATTCGTTAATAATTCTGGTCAATTTTGCAGATCATAACATTAAATGAATCTGCAATATTGACCAAAATTATGAACAATAGGTTCTATTGATCAGGTGATGTTCTTTCGTGCTGATCCGGAACAATCAAATTTAAAATTTCCGATTGGCCAATTCAAGCCTGCATTATAAAGCTGACCAGAATTATGCCAACTGGCCTGAATTATAAAAATTACACTGCGCAGCCTCTCAAAAATGCTGCGCAGGCTACGCAGTGTCCCATCCTTAGTCTTATTTATAATAATATTCATTAATAAATTGCTTTCTGTCATAAGTGAAAAGAAAAGATCACCTGCATGGACAGATAGAATATTGTGGAGGAGTAAGGAAAACGACTGGTGTAAACAGTTAACATACAAGAGTCATATGGATATCACATTAAGTGATCATAAACCAGTCAGCTCAATTTTTGAATTAAAGGTTAGTGCTGAAATAACAATCATATTCAACGTTCAAGACTTTTAATTTATCATGTTTTTTGATGGTAGATTAAAATATGTCCATCTGAACAACTTGACGATCCTGAACACGAAGATGATGAAATGATTATGTATAACAATGTGATTATATTGAAAAACAATGGGTGTGAGCAGGTGTGAATAATTAGTTTTATGATTAACAGCTAACTTATATTTATCCTCTTCTAAATTATTATAGACAAAATAATGTATCTGGTCATTGTAACAAAGATGCGGAATATATTGGTATTATCTAATTAATTAGCTTTAAAGAGTATCCAGAATATGATGGTTTTTGTCTTAAAAAATGGCACAGTAATTCATATTATCAAAACTTGATAATTTAAATTAGGTAAATCTTTTTATTTTCCTTTAAAAAAGATGTTTACATGTGAATCAAATATTGCACTTTTTTGATTCCAGTCTAATAACAAGTTTATTACCAGTATGAAGCTTTGTTGCTGCATGCTCTTTATGACTCCCAATATAGTTCGTGCGTCTATTGGCCACTGATTGTAAATACAGTCAAACCTCCTAAATGCAGCTTGTAAAGACCATTTTTGATAATATGCATCTTGGGCCAGAATTTGAGGCTGCATTTAGGGCGTCTTGCTGTATAAGATGAAATTGATTTGGGTTAAAGTATGGTGCCGTAAATAGCTAATTACTACAATTATATTTACTACATATATTTTTACAAAGGTTTTTTACAACC